CTTTACGTTTGGTGATCAAGCACCACAACTATGATAGAAGTACAAGGACCTTATCACATGAGTAAACTTCATAGCTGCGATCGAAATACAAGAACCTCAAGTTGTAATTATACCTCATTGCTACCGTAGGCAGTGCAAGAACTTCATGTTTGGTGATTCAACTCTGGCATTATGATAGTAGTGCAAGGACCTTATACTGTGATTAGACTCCATGTCTGCCGCAGGCAGTTTGAGAGCCTTATATTTAGTGATTAAACTTTGCAACTATAATAGCAGTATGAAAACTTTATATTGAAAAAAAGATCGATGTTCACTCTGCAGAAGACAACTGCCAGGTGCTCTAGAAAAACACCATCACAAGACTCAGGAGGAGAAGAGACTTACCAACTTCAGAAACAAGGGCGTCTGCCCTTGTCCTAAGGAAACGACATTCAGTAGACACAATAAATAAGGACAGCGCAAAGAAAATGAAGAAGGTCCACATTACACGTAGTAAAGGCGAAAGATCACCAACTTTGCTTCAAACGACAACACTTGAAGGTATAAACGTGCAAGTTAACACCTCCCAACCTAACTCCAACTCAAACACAACATGCTCGACTTCCCGGGACTGGTCAGAGATTATAGAACATGAAGCAGCAGCAGAAAATCAACAAACTCAGCTCGAAACCAACGATTTCTGTGAGGAAAATTCTACGGCTATGGACATAGAAGGTTCTTGCAACATGTGCAATGAGAGGGCAGGTGAGACGATCTCACCTGACCTGCACATGGGCACCAGTCATACAAATATAGATGCAGAAACAAGCATCAAAGGGAAAATCGAAAATAAGACACATCTTCAAGAAACAAAATCATGGTCAGGTCTCTTTACAAAATTAACCAAGGGAAGAGCGACTTACTCCACCTTTTCCACCAGAGCCAATATAAGCACAAAGATCAGGAATGCACTCTTGTTTGATATACAGAAACTTAACCAAATCTCCACTAATGACATAGTGGCTACACTTTACGGCAAAATGGGAGGAGACTTTATAGGGGCCAAACCACATTTTGTCAAAGGAACCCGTATGTACTTAGAAATTATATTCACGGATGAACAGAGAATGAAAGATTATTCAAAAAAGGGGATGGACATGTTTCAACAAACCTTCTATGGTTATATCTCGTCTAGGACTAATCAAGATTTACTATCAGTAAGGCTGAGAAGGGTTCCAATCATGGACAAAGAAATAATTTCAGAAAAAATAAGATGGGTTTTTGATAGCGTGGGCACCATCATGGCAATTAAGCCTCTGCTATATAAGGGAACCCCAATACAATCAGACCAATGGGTCATAATTTTTGATGTAACAGAAGATACAAATTTAACTGAACGAATTCCAAGATATGTTAACATAATGGACCAGAAAGTGGTCACGGAATGGAAGGAGGCTCCGAAACTCTGCTTTTTCTGCGATGGAGAGGGCCATATGAAACGAGACTGTGATCAACTAAAAGAAGCCAACAAACTAAACCAACACTACAAAGAGTTCAAAGCACTCAAGAATAAGCAGACCAGAAGGGATGAAGTGTTAGAACCCGATCGAGAAACTGTAGAAGAGAGAACGGGAAATTCTTATGTCAACAAAAGCCAGAATAATGAATCACAGGAGGTCGCTGTAACTGAACAGGATGTTCATATAGCGGTGGCAGAAGCCACACTGGAAACAGTGACAACACAATCAAATATACACAATGAAGAGATAGTCACACCAGACAATCTGGAACCCTCTACAGCAGCATCTATGGCTGCAAACAAAGGGAATATAGCCCTAGCAGGACCAATCAGGAATGAGGAGAGAAATAATAAGAATAACAACAATATGTTACTTGAGCCGCAATCCCTACTCAACGATGAAACTGCAAACATAACACAACCAGAGATGGATGATGGTTTCACTGAAGTCACATATAGCAAAAACAAGAAAAAAAGGACAAAAAAGATAGGAGAGAAACTCTGGCTCCATATAATAAAACCAAAACATCCCAATAATGAGAGAAGAACACGTGATCACAATCACGACATTAAATGTCAAAGGATTAAATAACAGAAGTAAATGTAAAGAAACACTAACTCTTCTTAAATCATACAAGATAGACATCATATTAATTCAAGAAACCAATCTAAATGATACATCCATGCAAACCTTTCTCAAAAGTCAATGGCATCTAGACTCGATATGGTCATCGAAGGCAGCTATACTAGCAGGAAACAGGCAAATAATTTTTAATAACCAACAAATCTCACACAATGGGAGGGTAATAACCGCTAGTTTTCAACTTAAGCATTTAACATTCCAAGCTACAAATGTATATGCCTCCCAAATATTGCAGACAGACGGGAATTTCTAGAGGTGTGGACACCCAGCATAAATACTAATGCGATCAACATTGTAGCTGGTGACTTCAATACAAATCTGAATCCATCAGACAATAGAATTAGTCAATCACAAAGTCATTATGATCCGACCAGGAATAAATTGCAAGAACTCATGGAAGGTTTTACAGATATGGCATATATAAGCAAAACAAAACCTTTTGTCACCTACTACCAAACAATAAGAAATGGACGTTCTATGGCCACGAGATTAGATTACATTTTCCTTGACAATGACAATATACAGATGTGCAAAAAATCAGAGACTAAGTTCGGGAACTCTGATCACCTTCTTGTATGGTGCTCTCTATACTGTAACCAAGACAAACCCAAGCCTACCTTATGGAAACTTAATCCACACATGCTAAATAATTCATTTATATCAAAAGAAATAGAAGCAGATCTTAAGAATGAAGAGGCAACCTCAGATTGGGACTACTTTAAGGTTCAGTGCCAATCAATTTTTAGGGCTTGTAAGCCACCAACTGCCTCAGCAACTCGCATACAAAAATTACACAAAAAGATAACAGAACTTAACAACAAAATGGCATTGAATCCACAACTGTCAGATCTTAGCATTGTGGTAACACAGTTAAACTCGGAGCTACAGGATGAGTTAAAGCTACAAACACAAAAGTGGCAATTGAGATCGAATATTAAATGGCTAGAAGCAGGAGAAAAGTCAACAAAGTATTTCTACAAACGGTACAAGCTAAGAACATCACAGGAAGCAACAAGTATAGTAAGAAATCCCGCACTCCCAGCTTCAGAAGATAGGCTAGAAATACTGCAGTATATAAGGGAACAATTTGAGGCACTATACCGAGCAGAACCGATAGATCTAGAAGCGGCAGAGGCC